GAAGGGAAAACCTCGGGGAACTCCCGAACAATAGGAACAGAATCAATAGAAGGGACCTCTGCGCTGGAATCGCGAACATACGCCAGATAAGCTCAACACCCCTTCTCGACCATGCGTCGAGCCTTCACATATGAGATAACACTGCGAGTGGCATGACCTGGGGTCCCTCGCCACTCCAAACGGGGCGAATCTGGTAAAGCCAAGGTCACGGTCTTGGCGTGACAATCCAAGATGGCATGATACGGGGACAACCAATCCATCCCTAATATAACATCGAAATCCACCATGTCTAAGAGCAATAAATAAACACGGGTCTCAAGACCATCAAACACTACCACACAGGAACGATGAACTCGGTCGGCCACTATAGAATCCCCCACCGGTGTAGATACATAAATAGGAATACCCAAAGCATCACTAGACATAACCAGGTAGGATGCAAAATAGGACGACACATATAAATACGCAGACCCAGGGTCAAATAGCACTGAGGCATCCCTATCACAGACCAGAATAGTACCTGTAATAACAGCATCTGAAGACTCAGCCTCTGGCCTGGCTGGTAAAGCATAACACCGGGGCTGGGCCCCACCTCCCTGAACCATGTCTCTGGGACGATTGGCTACTGGCTGGCCCCTACCTCTGCCGGTCTGACCTCCACCTCTACGGTCTCTACCTCCACCTCTATGATCCCTACCCCCGCCTCTAGCTGGCTGGGCGAGCTGTGGATCACCTGGTGCCTGAATCATGGGACGAGAACCCTGCTGCTGAGAACTACCCGAGGCTCGAGGGCAAAATCTAACAATGTGACTCGGGTCACCACAACCATAACAAGCCCTCGGCTGCTGAGACTGCTGGCCCTGTCGACCTGAATGTCCTCCCCGGAAACTCTGAAGTGGCGATGCACTGATGGGTTGCTGATCAGAGTAATGCTGCTGAGAACCACCACCGCCTGGAGTACCATGAGAAACCTGGAGTGCTGACTGAAAGGGTCTCGGTGGATGGCCTCTACCATAAGAATCCCTACCTCCACACGAGGTACCACTGAACCTACCAGAATGACGAGGCCTCTTATCCGACACCTGACCACCTCCTCGTGCAAGAGCCATCTCCACTCTAGGGGCCACATTGGCCGCCTCCTGAAAAGAAATCTCACTACCAGCTCCCATAGCCATCTGGAGACGGATCGGCTGAATCAATCCATCAATAAACCTCCGCACCCTCTCTCGCTCTGTGGGGAGTATAACAATAGCATGGCGTGCCAAATCAATGAACCGCGTCTCATACAGAGTGACTGTCATGGAGCCCTGCTGGAGGCGCTCGAACTGCCTGCGAAGAGCCTCTCGCTGAGTAACTGGGAGAAACTTCTCCAAAAACAACTCTGCAAACTGGTCCCAAGTCAGTAATGGCGACCCTGTTGGTCTGGATAAACAATAATCCCTCCACCAAGTCTTGGCGGATCCTGCTAGTCGAAAGGTGGTGAAGTCGACCCCATTGGTCTCCACAATACCCATAGTCCGAAGAACCTCATGGCAGCTATACAAGAAATCCTGGGGTCCTCTGAAGAAGCACCGCTGAATGTGGTGGTAAAGATCTTAGTGAATCTATCCAGCCTCCACAATGCATCTGCGGACATAGCCGCTCCATCGCCGGTCTGAGTCACAATTCCCGGGTAAACTGCCACAGCTGGCTGAGCCACTGGAACCTGAGTCTAGGGAGCTACCTGCTCCGGAGTACGTGTAGCAGGAGTCTGAACCCCTCCTCCAGCCTGAGAAGTGGCTGGTGCTACTGGAAGCAAACCCGCTCTAGTGACGCTCTCCACAAAGCCTACCAATCTGACCAGAGCGTCCTGAAGAACTGGGGTGGCTATGAACCCCTCTGGTACCTGAGCTGGGCCCACCGGAGCTGCTGGGGCTGGAGCCTCCTCATCATAATCAACATGAGGCTCCACCTCTGGGACTGCTGCTCGGGGCTGAGCTCTGCCCCGGCCTCGGCCTCTGGCACGGCCTCGGCCTCTACCCCTCGCAGGAGCTGCTGCTGGGGGCTCGGGCTGCTGCGCGGTAGAAGAGGAAGCACGTGTCCTCGCCATCTGCGAAAGAACAGAGTGGAAAGACAATCAGTATTTGGGAAACAAATTCGCACGACAAGAAAGAACATAAGTGAAGTTTTCCTAACTCCGTAGCCTCTGAGGGATAAATACAGACGTCTCCGTACCGATCCCTCAGACTCTACTGAGTTTGTCCGTGAGTTGTGAGACCTATGTAACCTAGTGCTCTGCTACCAACTTTGTCACGACCCGAATTTTTCCCACCATCGGGAGTCGTGATGGCGCCTACTAACGGAGCTAGGCAAGCCAAACATTTCAGTATTCCCTGATAACACCTCAACAATATAAATATTACGAGTCATTTAAATAAAAGCGGAAGTCTTAAAAACATAGGTAAATAAAAACCAAAAATGCGAAAGTTTAACAGTTCTCTACCCAAGACTGGTGTCGCTAACTCACGAACTACTAAGGAGTGCTAAAAACAAGTCAGAATAGAAATACATCAATGTTTGTCTCGGTACAATGAAAACAAACAAAAACATAGAAAGGGACTCCGGTCTGCGAACGCCAGCTAGGCTACCTCGTAAGTCCCTGGACTGAAGTCAGCTCCCGATCAATATCCTACTGCTGTGGTCCAAAAGCTGCTCCGGTACCGTGATCTGTGCAAAAGAGCACAGAAGTGTAGCATCAGCACAACCGACCCCATGTGCTGGTAAGTGCCTGGCCTAACCCCGGCGAAGTACTGACGAGGCTAGACAGGACTACCAAACCAACATGTGCAGTTCAATATATATATGCAATAAAAGGAAAGAACAAAGAAATTAAACAGTTAAGAGGGAGAGGAGCATACTATGGGGGAGTACAGTCCAGATATAAAGTCAACAATTTAAGTAAGAAACACGGCAATAATAATAACTAATGAGAGAAGGAAAATCAACAGTTGCACGGCATCAACCTTCGTGCTTTAACCCTCATTCTCACCAAGAGCAACCAAATAAAGTGCACGGCATCACCCTTCGTGCTTTTCCTCACATAACTCTCACATCATGGCACGGAATTCCCCTTCGTGCAAATATCATCAAAAACATGGCACGGAATGACCCTTCGTGCAAATGTAATCAAACATGGCACGGAATGACCCTTCTTGCAAATATAATCAAACATAGCACGGAATGACCCTTCGTGCATTATCACTCTTCCTCACCCAAACAGTAGTCACAACCGAACGGGGCGAGGGGATAACAAATAATATGAAGTGTCCCGGCAAGGGAAATACATAATTAAATAGCTAAATCCCGACAAGGGAGCAACAACAATAACTTCCATATCCCGGCAAGGAAGATAATCAATATACTCAAGCCATCCCGGCAAGGGATTGATCATATCTCTTTCTATTTCTTTCATTTCTTACTCAATAGTCTTTTTTTTTATCGTTCGAGCCAACACTCCAAAGAATTTACAATTCATACTTAATCCTCATACTCTTCACATTGCATAGAATTCATCAATTAACATGGAAGAGTCATAACAATATCAGAATAAGTACAAACAAGGACCTACAGTCATGCTAGACACCGGTGTATAGATACTCGTCACCATGCCTATACACCGTACTCCATATTTAGAAATTAGCAAACAACACCCTAATCCTATTCCCTCAAGCAAAAGTTAGATCAAACACTTACCTCGAATGCTCCAAACACAACTCAATCCTCTAGTATAGCTTTACCCCTCGAATTCACCACCAAACCGCTCGAATCTAATCACAAATTACTTGAATGTATTAACAAATGCTACTTGAATCAATTTGAATGCATGAAAATGAAATTTCCCAAAGTTTTTTCAAAAATTCCCAAAATGCCCCTCGGGCCCATGTGGTCAAAACCCGAGGTTCGAACCAAAACCCGATTACCCATTCCCCCATGAATTCAGATATATAAGTTATTTTGGAATCGGACCTCAAATTGAGGTCCAAAACCCCCAAATTTAGGAACCCTATTACTACCCTAAATTCCCAAATTTCCCCATTAAAATCCTTGGTTTGAAGTTGAAATTATGTTTAAGGATGTTAAGGAGTATAGAAAATCAGTTAGAAATCACTTACCAATCGTTTTGAAGAAGTAGAATCGTTTGGAAAATTGCCTCTTATGTTTTGGGTTTTGAAAAAGTCAAAAATGACTGAAAATCCCGACTTTATATACTGTACTGAAGACCCGGCGCGGACCGCACAAAAATGCCCCTCGGCCGCGCCGAGGAAAGGGTGGAGAAACCACTCTCTGAACCTACCCAGCGCGGACCGCACTGATTTGGTGTGCGGCCGCGCTGGTTGAATTAAATCCCAAGGCCCCTCTCTGAATCTTCCAGCGCGGACCGCGCTGATATGGCACGCGATCGCGCTGGTCGAATTGGGAGTCATTGGCCCTCTGAACCCAGCCACGCGGACCGTGCAAAAGTGCACCGCGGCCACGCGGCTGCCAGCGCGGCCGCCGGAAATGACCGCGCTGGAGGCCTGCAACACCTGGACCTGCAACACCTGATACTTTTAAGCCTAAGACCCCCCGGGACCTACTCAAAACTCACCCGAGCCCTCGGGACTCCAAACCGAACATACATAAAATCTCAAAAACATACTTCGGACTCATTCGTGCGATCAAATTGCCCAATTAACATCATGAATCATCAATTTGGGTCTCAATACCCATGAATTTCTCTCCAATTCCCATAAAACATTAAGTTAAGCTTTTCTAGCTCAAAACACGTCAAATGACGTCCAAATCTAACCAAACTTTACAGCAATTGCTTAAATCATATTTAAGACTTGTGCCGGGAGTCGGAACCAAAATACGAGCCCAACAGCACAGTCTTCTAAACAAATAACACCTTCCAATTCTTTAATTATTTTCGGAAAACAATTTCACACAACAATTCGTTTCTCGGACTTGGGACCTCGGAATTCGATTCCGGGCACACACCCAAGTCCCAAAATTTCCTACGGGCCCTCCGGGACTGTCGAATCACGAGTCCGGGTCCGTTTGTCCAAAACGTTGACCAAAGTCAAACTTAACCAATTCAAAACATCAAATTTATTATCTTACTCACAAATTCACATTTAAACTTTCCGGCTACGCGCCCGGACTGCGCACACAAGTCGAGGCAACCCCCAAGTGAGGTTTTCACGGCCTCGGAAGTACAAGGCGAGTGAGAAATACGGTGATGACCCCTTTGGGTCGTCACAATATCATAGACCTAGGAGCAATTGTTTCAGACATAAATATGAACTCCCACGGCCACTGCCTGAATCGTAGTAATATGAATTTTGAACTCATTAAAGAAAGTAGATCGGACGGACTTACCATCGAATTTCAGCCTTAAAATAATAGTAGAATTGTAGAACCTCAATGCAAGAACATCAGCAGTCATATTATTTATACTTTTTAGACGAACAGTGCTTTTTGAGGAACAAAGTCAAAGTCTTAGCGTGAAGGCAAAATGAATACTCAGTAGTTCCGTGACTGTAAGTAGGAATATCCTTACAACAGGGAGACGGTAAAAGATATATCCATTTTGCCTCACTTAATTCCTTGTATTTTTAATCAATCTTTTTTTTCTTTTGATCCAAAGATTGGATAAGCATTTATCACACAATTGATGCTTCATCTTAATCTTTCACTTATTCTCTACCTTTAACTGCATAGGATCTTGAACATATCCTAATAGCATGCAACAAATATCACGACCATAAAAAGATTTTGAGGAATTTGACAAACTTAAAAGTAAACAAAAATTATGGTGCAAAAATTGACAAAGTTGAAGCTAATATGTTGTATGTTCTTCAGTAAAGTGCGGAAGACCCAAATTTTAACAACTGTAGCATATTATTTTATTGCACAACTCACTGCAAATAACATATGAATATCCCAAGTTCTATGTTAGCGGCTATAAATTGATAAGATACACTTCTCTAAAATGCTTAATGATTCAGAGGGAGACGAAATTTCTACCTTCCTTTTTTTTTTTGGTCGGAAAAATATTGACTCCAGTCTGAATAGATGGCTACTGCTTGGATATTCACATTTGAAAGTTCCCTTTTTGAATCTTTTAAATGATAGCTTTAGCATTATTCTTATTGATAAATTAACACGATACACATTTCATATGCAGGGGCGGATTTACCTTAGCCCAATCCTCGAAAATCTTTACTAATTACTTATATATAATTCAAATGAAAAACCAAGAAACAGATAAAAATAAATAAAGCGACACCACTTGTCACAAAAAGCTCTGTAGCTTAAACGGTCAAAGGCTTAAGAATACTATGTGAGGGCGTGAGTTTGAACTTCCATAGGCCCTGCTTCCGTTAGTTGTGTTTTTTTTATTGGTGTTTTTTAAAATATGATTTATTTATTTATTTATTCACGTCTAATAGTGACACCGCTTACAAAAATTCCTACGTACGCCACGGTTCATATGATGATTTAATTTAGAATGAGAAAGTATGAATGCCCAATGACAACTATAGTGTTCGAAGTGCAAGTATAATTATTGTACAAAGGTGAAATGATTATAGAAGGGAGTGCATGCAACTACGAAGAAAAAAAACCCATGAACATCGATGTAGGACGAAATAACTTTTTAAGAACGTACCACTTGAATTTTATACTAATTTGTCTAATTCTGTTCTTAAATTAGACTTCTACTGGAACACGATTTGCCCCTAAAGTGAAAGAAGAAAAAATTACTGCGTAATTTGGGCACGGCTTAATTCTGGAGTGCCTGTGTTTAAATTATGCAATGGAGGAGCTCATATATCCTAAATGCTTGTTCATTTTACAAGAAGGCGAGACGCAGTTTGCAATAGAGATTAAAAATAAGCAAATCAGAATTAATCTTTCTACCCATGGATGGAATCAGTGAATGCATTGCAACCAACTTCACTTGTGTTTGAACAAAAAAGTATAAACCCTCTAGTCGAATTAATTGCTAGAATTAAAAAAGATAAATCTTAGCTAAACATAATTAATCCCAAATCTAAATATGCACGATGAAGAAGAATAATAATCATGGATAATATTTCTTCATATAATAATTATACATCAATCATATGTGACAAGCTTACATCTTTGACCGATTCATATCATGAACATGGGAGAAATCTTCCCTCAGAGATTCTCTTTGATTCTGCGCCCCCCCCCCCCCTTGGGTTTAGCTACCCTTTTTATATTAACAGCTTCCACATTTATCCAATGGTCTTTGACCAGCATACTTTCTCGATACCACACCCTCTTTCAATTTCTTCACCGCTACACTGGTTCCGCGACGTAAGCTTTCTTACGGTCTGGACCCGACGATGGCCGAGGTGTCCTTTTCCATCTTGCATTCTGGGCACGACTACGACCTGGTCGACCCCATATCGTTCCTATTAGGGATGATTAACCCATGGTCAGACTTTGACCCATACAGTTAGTCCCTCCGTCAGATGGGATCGCTTCTTGGCGAGCTCAACGGACGGACTTTGTTGATTTGTAAGTTAGGAGAAATCTGATCGTGGCGCGTCGAACGAGAACCTTAGGTTAAGGAAGGTGGTATGGCATTTTGATGGTACTATCGAACCGTTATGTCAGTTCGGAACCGAACTATCACGTCTGTTTGCAACGTCATGAATGCCCTTTACGAATTGTTGAGGCCCATGTTTCCTAGGTACCATATTATTTCCCGTGCCTCATCAGTTTTTGATTGGCGGCTCTTGGGTTTCTCGCCTGGGACATTCATGTTCCTATAAATAGGGGTAAAACACCATTCCACCGCCATATTTCCGATTCATCTAAAGAGATTTACAAACCTTTACCTTCTTCAACATTCCCAACTTCTGAGTTCATTCTCTCGTCAGTCAGAACTTGACGCCACCGTCTTCCCTCCTACTTCCTCTTACTCATTTATTCTGATCAATCGAAACAAATGGCTAGCACTTTTTCCCGTGCTGACAGACTTGCAGTTTCGGTGCCAGAAAATGATGCTCCTGCTCTCGGGGGAGTGGAGGTGGCGGAGGATGAAGGGGTTCCAACAGCGGCCGAAATATTGCCCCGTCTGGGAAAGTTATGGACTAATTTCAACAACCCTGCCGGAGAGGAACCGGATCCTGTTCCCTCTATTATGGATGAAGCGGCGATTGCGGAGCTTAAGCCAAATGTG